AAAAAAAAAAAAATGACAGCCCAGCCTCAAACATAGTATTTAACAGTCCAATCTAGAACAATAACCCAACAAAATACATGGAAATGCCACCTATGAAAACGTGCAGTGTGCACATCCACTCCAGCACTGGCCTCATACTGGATAGTCTTTAAAAACACAATAGGGCGTTTTAACTCCCTATAGAGGGTTGACATAATACAAAACAGTGCAGATTATGGTGTCATTAGAGACCCAAGTTCCCACGGTGCCCTGGAGCAGTTCTCCATTTGATAGAAACACAGTGCGTGTTGTGGGGGCAGAGGGAGAAGCCATTTGGGCAACATGTAAATACACACTCTGGACCCAAACCCATGCTCATAGCAGGATTATTCACAGCAGCCAAAAGATGGAGATGACCCAAGTGTTCATCGATGGATGACCGGATAAACAAAACATGGCGTATGCATACAATGGAATATTGTTCAGCCTTAAAAAAGAATGAAATTCTGATACAGGCTACACCATGGATGAAACCTGAACACATCATGCTCAGTGAAATAAGACAGACACAAAAGAACAAATATTGTCTGATTCCACTCACACAGGATCCCTACAATAGCCAGACTCACGGAGACACAATGTAGGATGTTGGTTGCTGAGGGATTGAAGGAGGGAGGAATAGGGAGTTTATTTAATTATTTAATGGGTACAGAGATTCATTGGGGGCATGAGAAAGTTCTGGAGATGGATGGTGATGATGTACTCTGAATGTGCTTAATGCCACTGAACTGTAGGTCTAAAAATGATGAAAATGGTAAATCACATCTTATTATATTTTACCACAGTAAACACACACACACACACACACACACACTGGAGGTTAGGGTTCAGAGTGACTCCGTGAAGAAGGCTGTGGGTCCTGTTTCCAAAGACACAGCCTGCTAACCCTTTGCCATCAACAAGTGTCTGTCCACTGCCTCCCAATGCCTTGGGGTGGTGGCTGGGACCCAGGCTTTGTGCTGATGGGAAAAGAGATACTAGTAGGCCTGAGGGTAACCCAGCAAGAGATCCAGGATAAGCACTTGGCATGCCAGGGGCTGTGAGGAAATAGCCAGCAGCCCCACTCAGTACCATGCCCAGGGACGTGGAGTGATACCAGCCTGGCAGCAGTGATGGCTGACTGGAACATGCAGTTGACAGGTGCCCGTGGGGACAGCACAGGAAGCTGGAGAAGGGGCAACAATCCCAAAGTACCCTCCCACTAGGGAAGGGCCTTCAGTGTCCAAAGAAGCATCTTGTGGACAATGCAAGGTGCAGAAGTCCCATGGAGGTGGGGCTGAGAGGACACACTCTTCCGGGCCTTCGATAGTAGGATTATCCGGCACCCCATCACCCCTTCACTGAGCAGCAGGCTTTGCCCCACGACCCAGGAGGACAGAGCAGGGAGGCTGCTTCTGAATCAGTACGAGGAAGAAATGTCTAGAACCTTGGGAGGTGATGAGTTCCCTATTATCAGAGGTGTTCTGAGATAAGCTGTCCTCTGCAGACTCGTAGCCCTCTGTACCCTGAACTTCTCGGTTAATAAAGGGGGCAGGAGC